AAAAAAAAATGTATTTAGTGCTTGCATGTGTAGCGCTTAAGTGTTTATCTTTTAATTATTAGTACGTGAGCGTGGTTAATACTACGTCAAAACAAATTAAATTCGCCACGTACATAAAACGTAATACACACATGACCTTGTATGACCCCTACGGTAATTGACAGTCATCCTAATTTNCATGGTATAGATGCAGTTCAGTATTTAAACTTGGACGTTGGAAAATAAAAATTAAAGTTAGGTAGCAATTTTTAACTGTTTGTCTCATCAAATATTTGGTCTTAATTATCTCCAAATCTGCAATAATACCTGCATAATCACATAATTACTTTCTCACTACAATCAGAGTAAATACAAATGTAAACTCTTGGTAGGAAAAATCTTAAGCTTTTATAAACATTGGGTTTTTCTTTATACAATTAACTATTCTACGGTTCTGCTCGAGATAGTTACTTAAACAAAAAGTTTATTATCTTTCCCTCTTTATGATAACTCTAATATATTTTTAATTTAGATCAAATTATATGTTCAGTCTATTTGCCTATATACATAGTTACCTAGTATGCATTTAATATAGGTACTCCCACAATCGTCGTAGGTCGCGGGAGGTGCCTGGATGCGGGCGGCGCAGGACCAGTCTTTGTGGAAATCCTTGGAGGAGGCTTTTGTCCAGCAGTGGACGTCATTCGGCTGAAACGACCACGACACTCCCACATTGAAAGTACGGTTTTTGAGAGAAACGCAAGTGCATACGGACATACAAGACAACTGTTTTGTTATAGCATACCTACAGCGTAGATTGCACTGTAAATATTGGTTTGATTACTTCAATGTTTTGTCTCTGGATGAAGGAAAACAAAACAAACTTTTACGTCACGCTAGTAGTAATCATCATTAAACTTGGAGATTACCATTCATCCTTAAACTGGATTAAATAATGTAAAAAGTAGGTCAGATTACAAAATAAAGTAAGTACCTACAACATAGAGTTGTAATAAAACAATAAAGCAATTTAAATAGAGTATCTTACTAAGTACATCTGCTTGTTCTGGCTATTGGACAACTTGTAAATTACCTACCTACATAAAATTTGTTAATTTGTCATGTAAGTGACTGTAAGGTTTTTAATCTATACTTATAATAAATCTGTAGAGAGGCCAATTCTGTACATGAAATATATTTTCAAAATAACTATCAGGGGGTGATTAGTGATCGATACTGATGCCAAAAATGAAATCAGTAAAATTTTTGTCTGTCTGTCTGTCTGTCTGTCTGTCTGTCTGTCTGTATGTTCCTTATAGAAACAAAAACTACTCGACGGATTTTAACGAAACTTGGCACAATTATTCTTCATACTCCTGGGCAGGTTATAGGATACTTAGGAATTCCCACGGGAACGGGAATTAGCGGGAAAATCCTTTTGTATGAAAAATCTAAACCGCTTAAGTTAGACGCTTGAAATTTGGCATGCAGGTACCTTAGTAAACTTAAAGCTTAGTTACAACAGGATATTGCACAATTCCCACGGGAACGGGAGTTATTGGGAAAAAACATTTGTATGAAAAAATCTAAACCGCGTAAGATAGACGCTTGAAATTTGGCATCCAGGTACCTTAGTAAACTTAAAGCTTAGTTACAACAGGATATTGCAAAATTCCCACGGGAACGGGAGTTAGTGGGAAAAGAAATTGTATGAAAAAATCTGAACCGCGTAAGATAGATGAAGTGGGGGTAAAACGAGATCCACGCGTACGAAGTCGCGGGCGGCCGCTAGTGAGAAATAAATAATATGTCCTTTACACCTATCTAAAAGACTGACAAACACTTGGGTCACTTTGATAATGGTACCTATTTACTATCCAGGAAATGAAGTAGTAGATAGGTAAATATAAAATCATGGTTACAAAAAATTATAGTTTACATACTTTTTTTAAAATTCGAATTCAAAATTGCACATTTTTTCTCTGGTTTTTCCGAAAAGAATGTGTAATTTTCAACTGTTTTCATTTTTGTCTATATGAGCACGTGCTAATATGTTTCTTTCTGATTCATCACTTTACAATAATTGTTAACACCATGTTACTAATGGCTAAACAATCTTTGTCTAAAAACCGATTCTTGTAGACAGGCATTGTTGGGTTAGAAATAACATAACAATGCTTGGAACTGTTAACTTTATTGCATTACAAAATAAATAAGTTATTTTAGTAAAAATAAAAATATGAAAGTAATAAGTAATTAGCAGTTTTAGATCCTCATTAAGAACGTTCAAAACTCGTCTCTATAAATTTAAGGCTTCTGAGTTTAACAAAACTTAAAAGACCAATATATGACTGAAGATTGACGCCCGTATTCACAAACATGAGGTCTCACAGTGCGTCTGGACGCACAGGGTGACACACGAACCAATCACAGAGCTCTATTAAAAGCTGTGCGTTCGATTGCTGCTTCACTTAAGCAAGCATCGTTTGTGAATACGGGCGTGTCGAGTTTTGAACGCTGTTTTGCAATAAGGACCTTAAAAGCAAGTTGAGTAGTCTCAAAACCGTATGCCGAAGTCGGTGTAGTCTAACCGGGCCAGGTACTCCCAGTTGGTCAGCTCACACTTCTCAATCTTGCAGCCAGGAGAGCCGGTCGTCTTCAGCCAGTCGATCCTGGAATAACAGAATGAGGCTCTTTAGAACAAGGTCCTCCAACTCCACCAACTCTGAACGGTACACGAAATGTGATCAAGAGAATGGACTCTATCGCCAAAGAAGTCTTAGTTTGCAGACTGGAATCAATCTGATGGTTTAAAAGAAATAACCAAGTCATCAGTTGTTACAGCCCACAGATCCAGAAGAAAAATACGTTTTGAATTATTCAGTGAAGGTGAAGCGCATTGGAACACAATGCTCTTTGTAAAAGCTATGTAGTTTGGTTTCACGATCATCTTATACATTAAAATATTGTTGTGTTTGTAATGTAACTATTTAGAGAATTACCTACATTGATTAATAGGAGAATAATAAACTATAATAGGAAGTTGACATTTTTGGCTCGTCTCTCCATCATTTACTTCGTGACAGACATGGCAGCTTATTATCAGCTGCTAATTAAAAGTGGGTACATGGAATATCGAATACTTGGGAGCGATCCAAATTTTGGTTAGAGACATTTTCTCTTGCTAATGAAGAAATAACGATCTTGCCAAATAAAGTTATAGTGAACATTTCTAGTATTTTCCTAAATGTATCGTGGTCACTCGTAGTGGTACCTAAGTAAAATAAACAGATGGATCGGGGATTTCAGTTTCAGCTGCTGAAAAGAAGAAACCACCAACCATTTTCATAATGTTAGCATATGACACAAAATAAGTAGACAAGCCAAGTGTTTTCCAACCAAGTGCATGCCAATAGTTTGTTTGTTAATTGGCGACGATAAGCAAGACTTTGCCTTTTTCCTGACAACGACAGAAGAAGTTATATTTAAATAATACTAACATGTGATCCAAAACAGATTTGTTCCCTTGTATCTTGCCAACAATGGTGCCTTTCTTGGAGTTCTTCACCCAGCCGGTTATGCCGATCTGCTCAGCCAGTTCTTTGCAGTATTTTGTGAAGTAACAACCTGGAAAATACATCAAAATACTAAGTAGATAATTAATCCACATACTTCATCATCCTCAGGTTATTCAGTCTCTACTGCAGGAGCACGATACCCTCTCTAATTTCGTTCGTTCGTTTCAGTCAAATGACGTTCACTGCTGGACAAAGGCCTCCCCCAAGGATTTCTATAACGACCGGTCCTGCGTTGCCCGCATCCAAGTTCTTCCCGTGACCTTCACCAGATCGTCAGTCCACCTAGTGGGAGGCCTGCCCACGCTACGTCTTCCGGCCCGTGGATCGAGTGAGTGGCAACTCGAGAACTTTTCAGCCCCAACGGCCATAGACTCTACGACCTAAAACTATGTGCCCCGCCCACCGCCACTTGTTTTTAGCAATTCTGCGAGCTATGTCGGTCGGGAAGCTGGATGTTAGCACTTATCTCTCCATGAGATATCCATGGGAGAATTGGAGTGGTCTTACTCAGCCAGAAGCCAGAACTAAATGGCGTTCACATACCTACTTAGAACCTTAAGTATTTATATTCAGGTCAAATTCCACTCTTAGTCAATGCCTAAGTGTTTGTGTGCTAAGTAGTTACGAGTCAGTATTACTAATCTTAGCTATAAAAATCTGTTATCTAAAAACGCCTAGTTTCACCTCATTACTTGGCACAAGGTGTATCCTTATGCTATTTGTTGCTGTGAGAGTCTAATTATAACATTTATAATATACACACGACAGCATATCAGGCTACCCATTTTTGTTGCAAATTCGCCCCAATTACAACTGCACAAGAACCCACAGTGGCTACGTTAACGTGCCGTCGTCTGTACCTAATTAAACAATACCAAGAACACAATCTTTACTAAAACATCACGTAAAACTTTTATCTGTGGTATAATTAAAAAATAAGCTCTTCATACAAAATGTATCGTCAAATTAAATACCTAGTAAATACAAATAGTGACAGATTGTTTACTATATTTATGGCAACAGACTTTGTTATGCTTAATTAAAATCACCTTATCTTATTTATAGGGGATTGAAAAAAATGTACATTATCGTAAGTCGTGGGCTTTTTTCTATATAACTGCCTACCCAAGTTTGGTTCGTTCATTTCAGCCTTATGACAGCCTGCTGGACAAACGATCGTTCCTGCGCTATCCAGGTGCTTCCCATGACTAGATCGTCGGTTCACCTAAGTCTAGTATTTTATCGTTTCTTGTATGATCCTGTTTTAGATCCAGACTCCTTGAGTATAAACTAGAAATCAGCACAACATCTATATAAAAATCTGGCGTCACATACGTCCGTCTGTTGTTATCGTATCTCAATCGCCCATTGACATCGACCCAGATGCGTGTGCGCGTCTAATTATAAAGCGATCAGCTGCCGATACATTGCCTAATCTAATACTCTCACTTGATTAATATTCGCAAATCGCTGAAGGAAGTTGAGAAAACAGAGTAAAGCACACAGTGGCTATCAAAAGGAAAATATTTAAGGCCAGTAACGTCATCTTTGTGAATAACCATTCAAGCTTGTGATTCGATTGAAGGCTTGAATCTACAATTTCCAAATTGACCATTTGGAATCTGCGTGAATTCAGCGGCTTCTTGCAACTTCTAAAAGGCCATCTGTAAAGTGGCAGTCTTAGACAGGGCTACAGCTCGTCAAAACTGACGGCCAATTGGGCAGAAAGGTTCTGGAAGTAAAGTGGCAGTCTTAATTGGACAGGGCTAAAGCTCGTCAAAACTGACGGTCGATGGGGCAGAAAGGTTCTGGAATGCAGGCTAAGTACCAACAAACGTAGTTTGGGAAGTCCATTCACGTTTTAAAATGTCACGCTTTACATAAACGAAAACAGGAAAATGCTTTTAAATTACTGTATACTAATGTTATAATCTGTCTAAAGACCTTACATTACTCCACCTAAGGGCTCATCAGAGTTAAGGAAGTGTTTTTGGATTAATAACATTGAACTAACAATTTTTTTGAAGCTTTGCAAACAAAACACAGCATTGAGTGTTTTAAAAATTTTAGCTGTGTTTTAGCTTTTCGAAAGATACTTTAATCCTAACGGATGCTTACGTTGCAAATTGATTTATTATACTTACATTCCAATTTGCAAAGAAACCATAGTTAAAATTGACATCTCAATTAGAATTTGTAGTTTTGACCGCGTGATAATACCTTGTAGGTCTATTATGAGCGGAGTTGAACGTTTTATAAGAAATTCTACATATGGTGGAATTTATTGGAACATCTAGTCACGGCATTGCAAGCAGGAAACATGGTGGAAGGAGCTATCTGTCTTGTGGGAACACTAATACTTGTTTTCATCATCAATCCCTAATTTTTAAGTGACCCCTATGTAAACAAAATTTCTGTTATTTATTACCATAGGGGCCACTTAAAAATTAGGGATTGATGGTGAAATCGGGCATAAGTCACTCATTTATTGAACAACCGTATCTAAATAAAATTGTAAAATTACTAATTTTTTGTAGAATCTAAGTATCCAACTAAAATTGTCGCTATTGCCCAAATTAAGTGTGAAGGAACCATAAAATATAGCTATTACCTTTTAATTATCTAAGTACATGTTTCCCTAATAAAATTATCTTTATGAGTTAGCGAATATGACAACAATCAAGAACCAACCTTGAACCTGCCCATACACTTCAAACTCCACTGATGCCAGCACATTAGGATCTATACTATCCGAATCCATATTGATCAACACAAAAAACACCACCACCGATTAAAAAAAATATTAAAATTTATTTTTGTCCACACAAAGCGGTCTATCGAACGTCTTTGGGCGGATTCGCCGCCCGCCTAGACGCGCTTCGTATGCTGCCCAGTTTTATTTTTATTTACGTTGCGGTTGCAGGGCGGTAATTAAACATTATAGTGGATGGATGAGTTTATGATCATTGCCTTTCAGTTAAACGGTTTATTGATGACCGAATGAGATTTGTTTTGGATACTAAGTAACTCGTCTGAATCGTAGTTTAAGGGGAAGTATTTTATATGAGAAATATTTAGTTCCTCCCAGTTCCTCCTATATAAGTTTCTAGTCTAAACCTTATCAAAATATAACACAATTAAGTTATTTAATAAACTGATTCGAATGGGATGGGTCTATTCGTTCTCTACTTCACTTGATGTAAAAAGTTTTACTGTACCTAAGTATTTACTTATTGCCGCAAAACTACCTATAATAAATGAATAACCTTTGGAGGTCGCGTTTTTCAGACCTTTTTATTTATTCTAAATTATTACAGCAAAGTTTGACTTTTTGGTGGCTTTTGGTGGCATTATGTTCTGCTGATACGTGAGTCATGAATCCAATCGTTGTTAAAATCCAATGTCTGCGATTCAAAGCGTAAGCGTTGCCTTGTTTTTTCCTTTTTAATTGAATCTTTCATTACGTACCAGTCTCATGTCCCTTGCAATAGCTATTCTAAACCAACTCATGGAGGCACCTGACGGATGTCCACGCCAGTTCCCCGCCATGGAGTGGCCTGTTCCGCTGTCCACAATTACAATTATATGATTGGCCACTGATTGAACAAACTACTTCCTAATCAACTGGCCGTACGTCAGGGAAATATATAGGTGAAGGTACTTGTATTATAAACAGTTAAATTGTTTGTTGGGTTGTAAAGACGTTGGAAGGCTATCGCTAATCCGCAGTTCTGACTGTAAAAAAATAAATTACCTGTTATTGTATTACCGTCAGACACTCTCGGGATATTATGAACTTTCAAGAGAGACGTGATACCTAGTTATAATAGTCGAACAGAAATCCTCGATTGATAGTGTACATTTATGAATAGGTAAAAGCTACAACGTGCATGATTTCAGGGAAAGTAGATATTGAAAACCTTTATCATCTATCATTCATTGGCTTTTAACTCTAATGTGTAAATTAATTAAGCTATTAATTAATTTGGACAATTTTCTAAACTGTTTCGTGTGCTAAAAATCCCCCAATCATTTACATGTTTGGTGTCTGTAAATAAATATCTCGTAACGCGAGGAAAGGATCTCTTCCTCGCATAGTTTCCTCCGATGCCATAAATTAATTTTTGTCCCTTGCATAATTATGAAAAGATTTTGATAATCAACCCTTAACCACCTACCACATATTATTGTCACACAACCGCCTATCATACGTCTGTGGGACCCCAGAATAAAAAATAATACGATTACGATAAATATTAAGGGAGGGTACACATTTTAATTAAAATTCTGTTATGAAAATGATTAAACTCTTTATTTTAAAAAAGAGGAATGCGAAAATCAACAATACTTTTACAAAAACTCCGAATAATTAGCATAATCTCTTATTTTTTGGCTTACTTACTATTACTTATAAAAAATTAGATCCTAAAAAATATTTAAAGTGATAGGAACTTATTCTTATATTTTTTATATAATTCAATCAACAATTAACTTTAATAAAAAAAAATAAAACTCATTATTAGAATCAATTAATAAAAATTGCAGGCACTAAACTTAGTTTTTCACGGCAATCCAGACTCATATTTTTCGAACATTCGAGGCAAATTGGCGCTTTTCATTCGAAAGACATGTATTGTGTTTTGCGTTTTTTTTTTTGTATATTTGCAAGTGGAAGAGTTTTTACGAACCGCCAATCACTCTTCACCTGTGCTATTGCATGGGACAGCTGCTGGAGGGGTCACGTTGACCTGGAGGATGCGTTGTATACTGATACGTATACCACGTTGCAATTTCACATTGCTTTTACGACATGCCATATGCGGTCTCGTCAGTTGTTCAGCCAGTTTCTTCATAAACTTGGACCTGCTTTAAATTGTGTGTCCTGTAAAGTCCGCGATCGTAAAGTCGCCGGGGCAGATGACCAACTAAAACGATTCTTTCCAAAATAATTCTTTTTCCTAGGTCTCGATCGAACCTCTGCTAACGGTACAACATCCTCAGATGACAACTCTTGGTCACTTACTGAGGGAATATCACATTGTGATGGAGAGTTTATTTGTATTACTGTTGAGCCTTCGCATTCGGAATCAGACACGCTTCTTTCTTCCAGGACATGATTAATTTCAACCGGCTCCACATCGCTGCATTCGTCGTTTGGTATGTTTTCATCGTCTGGCAGATCTTGTTCAACCAACGTTCAATTTCAGCTTCACTAAGAGCCATTGTATCGAAAATAATAAAAAAAAAACTCATACAAAAAATTACGTAACCTCCTAACAGTGGTCTCTCAGACCCATTCTGGTATTTATTTAGGGTATTTCTTCGGAGGCAAAATTTTCGATGTCTTTGGGTNTATGTTACACGAGCTATGTGCCCCGCACACTGCAGCTTGATTTTAGCAATTCTCTGAACTCTGTCGGAAAGCTAGATGTTAGCATTTATTTCTCAGTCGCCTTTATGATATCCATGGGAGAATTGGAGTGGTCTTACTCAGCCAGAAGCCAGAACTACATGGCGTTCACATACCTACTTAGAACCTTAAGTATTTATATTCAGGTCAAATTCCACTCTTAGTCAATGCCTAAGTGTTTGTGTGCTAAGTAGTTACGAGTCAGTATTACTAATCTTAGCTATAAAAATCTGTTATCTAAAAACGCCTAGTTTCACCTCATTACTTAGCACAAGGTGTATCCTTATGCTATTTGTTGCTGTGAGAGTCTAATTATAACATTTATAATGTACCTAATTAAACAATACCAAGAACACAATCTTTAATAAAACATCACGTAAAACTTTTATCTGTGGTATAATTAAAAAATAAGCTCTTCATACAAAATGTATCGTCAAATTAAATAGTAAATACAAATAGTGACAGATTGTTTACTATATTTATGGCAACAGACTTTGTTAAGCTTAATTAAAATCACCTTATCTTAGGTGCAAAGTCTGAAGATTGGAAAAATGTACACTATCGTAAGTCGTGGGCTTTTCTTGATATACGAGTAACTGCCTACCCAAGTTTGGTTCGTTCATTTCAGCCTTATGACAGCCTGCTGGACAAACGATCGTTCCTGCGCTATCCAGGTGCTTCCCATGACTAGATCGTCGGTCCACCTAAGTCTAGTATTTTAACGTTTCTTGTATGATCCAGTTTTAGACCCAGACTCTTAGAGTATAAACTAGAAATCAGCACAACATCTATATAAAAATCTGGCGTCACGTACGTCTCTGTTGTTATCGTATCTCAATCGCCCATTGACATCGACCCAGATGCGTGTGCGCATCTAATTATAAAGCGATCAGCTGCCGTTACATTGCCTAATCTAATACTCTCACTTGATTAATATTCGCAAATCTCTGAAGGAAGTTGACGATAATATTATTGTAAAGCCTGCTACCAAAAGTTCTCTCTTTCAAGTCTAGTTTTAGGAACGACATTCTACGATTCCCTGTTTGGCCGATTGGAATGCCTGAATCCAACGGCTTCCTGCAACCTCTAAAAGGCAATAATGTGAAATGGCAGTAGGTAGGGCACTTAAGCTCGTAGAACTGACGTCCGATGGGGGAGAAAGGTAGGTTAGCAAACGCAGCATGGGAAGTATAAGAACACAAGGTAAATAGTTATAAGCTAATTACTTAACCGATACTATTATCTGTATAACACTAAATGAGACGACAAAAAGCTGTACGTTCTAGCAGTTACATTACTCTACCTAAAAGCTGATTTACCTACAAGTATGAAGTAGGTAACTAAAATTTACCTTAATTTTAAGTGATTAATACATATAAAACCAGAATTTAGTAGCAAGTTGTACGTAGCAAGTGTAAGCAACGTGTTTACCTACATACAATTTAATCCCATAAAATAAGTTAAAATTTAGTTATAACTTAATACGTGTAAATCAGAAGATTGATCTGTGAGTGTAAAGGAAGCACTAAAGTTTTACAGTAATTTAAATGTACTTACCTAAGCAAGCCGCTACCATCCGGGTAACATGGAAAGCATTGGGGGAGGCCTACTTATGTTTAGCAGTGGACGTCCTATGGCTGAGATGATGATGATGATGATAAAGCAACCACGACCGTATTCACGGACGCACAGGATGACACACGAACCAATCACAGAGCAAGCAAGCAAGCATTATTTACCTATGTACGGGCGTTAGTAAGCAACTTTTTGACATGCATCGAGTTTCTTTTATGTAATCTGCTTTTCATACCAGCTAGTCCAGCTATCTTTACGAAAGATTTTTTAATCTTACTGAATGCTTTTGTGTACTTAGTTACTAGCAAGTCACTCAATCCCAACTAATATTATAAATGCGAAAGTAACTCTGTCTGTCTGTCTGTCTGTCTGTCTGTCTGTCTGTCTGTCTGTCTGTCTGTCTGTCTGTTACGCTTTCCCGCTTAAACCTCGCAACCGATTTTGATGAAATTTGGCATAGAGATAGTTTGAGTCCCGGGAAAGAACATAGGATAGTTTTTATCCCGGTTTTTGAAACAGGGACGCGCGCGATAAAGTTTTTCTGTGACAGACAAAATTCCACGCGGGCGAAGCCGCGGGCGGAAAGCTAGTTTTATATAAAATTGCATAAAAAGAAACACACAGTCATGATGGAGCTATGTCTGGCGGGAACACTAGGAGACTCATTTATTGAATCGTAACTAATTAAAATTGTAAAGTTACTGATTTTGTGTAGAATTATTAACTTTCTATTTATCTAACTGAAATATTCGCTGATGCCCTAATTATGTAGAAATCACAGCTTTATTTTCTTTATATTATCAAAAAATTTCCCTAAATTAAATTAAAAATCTTGAAACGTCCCGAGTTAGTGAATATGACATCGATCAAGACTACCAAGTACCAACCTTGAACCTGCCCATACACTTCAAACTCCACTGATGCCAGCACATTAGGATCTATACTATCCGAATCCATATTGATCAACACAAAAAACACCACCACCGATAAAAAAAATTATTAAAATTTCTTTTTGTCCACGCAAAGCGGTCTAACGAACGTCTTTGGGCGGATTCGCCGCCCGCCTAGACGCGCTTCGTATGCTGCCCAGTTTTATTTTTATTTACGTTGCGGTGCAGGGCGGTAATCAAACATTATAGTGGATGGGTGAGTTTATGATCATTGCCTTTCAGTTAAACGGTTTATTGATGACCGAATGAGATTTGTTTTGGATGGTAACTCGTCTGAGTATATGGCGAGGTATTTTAAACGAGAAATACTTAGCTCCTCCTATTTGAGTTTCTAGTCTTTATTAAAGAGTAACATACTTATTTAATAAAGTGATTATAATGGATTTCCCTTGTTCTCTACATTACTCTTTACTGTATTTTAGTGGCGCAAAACTATAACACAAATCAGTAATAATGACTCTACTTTGGTCACCCAAGTTTGATTTTTTTGGTGGCGGTGGTGGCGTTATGTTCTGCTGATACGTGTTATGAAGCTGATCGTTAAAATTTCCATTCTGCGATTCAAAGCTTTAAATAGCTTTACTTGCTTTTTCCTATTTCATTCAATTTTTCATTACATGTACCAGTTTCATGTCCCTTGCAATAGCTATTCTAAACTAACTCATGGAGGCACCTGACGGATGTCCACGCCAGTTCCCCGCCATGGAGTGGCCTGTTCCGCTGTCCACAATTACAATTATATGATTGGCCACTGATTGAACAAACTACTTCCTAATCAACTGGCCGTACGTCAGGGAAATATAGGTGAAGGTACTTGTATAATAAACAGTTAGGTAAATGATTGTTTGTTGGGTAGTAAAGATGTTGGATTGGAAAGCTATCGCTAATCCACAGTTCTGACTGTACCTACACAAATTAAAATACCTGTTATTGTACTCGTATATCGTCAGAGATTCTCTCTCAGCAGTGGTGGATTTACAGTTTTGCCACCCGTAGGCTAAGGTGGGATTGGATCTTTATTTAACTTTTATCTTCTGAAATCGAGTAAGCGTCATCTGAAATCTGCCGCCCCTAGGCCGCGGCCTATACGGCCTATTGACAGATCCAGAACTGTCTCTCAGGATACTGAACTTCCAAGAGAGGCGTGATACTTACTACTTACTTACTTGGTACCTACTTAGTTGTTTTAGTTGTATTGTCAAACGGAAATCCTTGATTGATAGTGTAGATTTACGAATAGGTAAAAGCTATAATACGTGCATGAACTTCAGGGAAAGTAGAGATTGAAAAGCGTTTAGTGTATTTAAATTTATTGCCTTTATCATGCTAGGTTGGATACTTGTGGTAAAGGTAGGTAGTTCTGGTGAAGTTAGATTAGACATTTTTCGAAAGCTACATTAGCTGTTGAACAGATTTTAATAGTCATTGGCTTTTAACTCTAATGTGTAGCTAAATTAATTTGGACAATTTTCTAAACTGTTATTGTGCTAAAAATCCCCCAATCATTTACATGTTTGGTGTCTGTAAATAAATATCTGGTAATGCGAGGATGGGATCGCTTCCTCCCATAGCTTCCTCCGATGCCATACATTAATTTTTGTCCCTTGCATAATTATGAAAAGATTTTGATAAACAATGATCATCTACTGAAGTCCTAAAGCATTGATTTAATTTGTAGTTAAGTGTCCGTAGAATCATAGCTAAGAGATGGCTAAGACACGATTGATGTTTTATTAAACTTAAGTACAATACATGTACATACCTTGCAATATTTAACAAGCATGAACGGCGTTCATTGAACGCCATAATATACTATCATGGCCTAAAGTTTATCCAAGAGCGCCTGTAAAATATTAAGCAGCAAAAGGCTGGTTTAAACTTTGCTATGTTACTAACGTAGGAGTATCAAATTTTTTTTCATTAACTTTCTTGGAACTTTTTGAAGATTGCGATTTTTAGAGTAGTGTAGTAAGTAGTGCATGGACATCGAGTTATTATGAGTCTTGGATCTTAGTTTTATTATAAGTTATAGAATTTTAGTTCAGTCAGAGTGGCGACCACGGGCTGGAAGACATAGCGTACGCAGGCCTCCTACTAGGTGGACCGATGATGGGTATTTCTTCGGAGGCAAAATTTTCGATGTCTTTGGGTATAGTTCTGTAACCAACTAACAAAATGGCATGCAATATTTTTTTTCGTATAGCTTAGCTATAGCCCTATCTGGCGCAAATTACATTTTTGACATAATTGCTGTCTTCATACAAAATAAAAATATTTGAAGTGTGATTCTCTGATTCATATGGTGTGTCCGTTAGCCATTTTCCGGAACAAAATGGTTGATGTAGCATTTTCCTTTTGATATATCAATATAAATTAAAATTATTTCGAAAGCTAATGAGTTGTCCTTCTACAAAAAAAATGTGTCATAATTTTAATTAAGTTAGTTTGTTCGCAAAAAAATAAATAAGCAGTGTCCGGCATAAAATACTGATTCATATGGCGTGAGCTGTTCTTGACCATAACTGGTCAGGTTTTAGTCATGAGAGTCTGGTTTCTGGCGTGGAGGCAAGCCCATCTTGCAACGGATGAGCTAGAAGGCAGACGTGGAGCTGGTTGGCTTAGAACCCGGTGTGACGAAGGCAAATACTTGATTCATCTGTGCTTGGTTCAGGTGGCATGCTGATTACAATGCCTACTTTATAAAATTACATTATTGCATTAAAAATCTAATCTGTCTTTCTTGTGATGCTTTTGGGTTATATAATCATGTAGAAAAATGACAACACTGTAGTCTGTATGTATGACGAGTTTTGCTCGATTTTAGGCAAAAAACTGATTTATCTGTGCGTGATTCATATGGTCAGGGCCCTATATGAATCATAAAATAAATTAGTTTTTGGTCTTTCAAGCACCAAAAAAGGGTTTTTTAACTAAGAATNATAGCCATCTAAAAAAAAGTAACTCAAAACAATATTAGACTTTTCTAAACATTTTAAGAATTAATTAGATATTTGGCTTTAGTCTTTTTTAGACATTAAAAATGATCACAGGGAACAGGTAACTCAAAACAATAAAGTTTTAGCCATTTTTCTGGGTTATTTTTCTTTAAGATAAAATTATCTTCACCGGCCACAGCCATGATTTCATATTTTTACACTAATAATATTATTGTGTAGGATTCCGCCGAACACCAGAATCCATAGCCACTTTGTCCGGCAGCGCCACGGTATTGAAAAAAGGAACTAAAAACTATCAAAGCGGCGGGTAATGACACGCTGTTTTACATTACGGCTAGCCGTATTGAAGAACGTTTGGCGCCGAATACATTCCGGCGGATTTTCATTCAGCTGTATTTAATCCGCCTAAACGTTAAGCCGCCGTATTACAAAACAGAGCTGTAATGCAAAATGCCTAGCTGTAATGTAAAACGGCGGATTATACAATTTGACTGCGACATATCGACAGGGTCTGTGAGACGTATGGTAGGCGGTTAAGGGTCAATGATCATCTACTGAAATCCTATTAAACTTAAGTACATGTAGGTACATGTACTTAAGTTTAATAGGATTAAGGTAGGTACCTTGCAGTATTTTACAAGCATGAACGGCGTTCATTGAACGCCATAATATACTATCATGGCCTAAAGTTTCTCCAAGAGCGCCTGTAAAATATTAAGCAGCATAAGGCTGGTTTAAACTTTGCTATGTTACTAACGTAGGAGTATCAAATTTATTTTTCATTTACTTTCTTGGAACTTTTTGAAGATTGCGATTTATTTTTAGAGTATAAGTGTAGTAAGTAGTGCATGAACATCGAGTTATTATAGTCTTGGATCTTAGTTTTATTATAAGTTATAGAATTTCAGTTCAGTCAGTGGCGACCACGGGCTGGAAGACATAGCGTACGCAGGCCTCCTACTAGGTGGACCGATGATCTTGTGAAGGTCGCGGGAAGAGCCTGGATGCGGGCAGCGCAGGATTGTTCTTTATGGAAAACCTTGGGGAAGGCCTCCAGCAGTGTACGTCATTTGGTTGAAACGATGACGAAGTCGATAGAATTTCTGTTGGCAATAATAATGCAATATGCCATACAATCTGCGATATTTAAAACATGTTGTAGGGGTAACTGTCTATGCCTTCTCCAAAAGTAATCAGCTCGAAGATTAATTTCTTTGTGGGTTTTTTTTATGTTGGCAACTCTTAAATCAGCTGTCAGCTGTCAAACGCCAGCAGTCTCATGTCATTAGTGTCAGTTGCTATCAAACAAGTTGGTGGCTGATCGTGTGGAACTCAATAAAAATAATAAAAAGTTTTCGAGAAAAATCAATAATAGCTTGGGCTTACTTCGAGGCAATAATTTTGAAAAGCTTGCCTATAATACAGGTCTAACAAAAGTTGCCGCATTAACGTTTATCATACATTTAGGGCTAAAGTAATCGGCAAAAGTTTGTCTTGATAATTTCTTAGGAATTAGCTTCAATAATGAGTGTCTGTGATAGTGGTGATGCGAAGTTGGACGCAGCAGTCAACACTTGGTTGAAGCATGATAAGGTATTCACAATATTTTATTATTAGGTACATCATTTTTTAATTAAATGAACGATGGAAGTTCTCTTCACTTCGACCGGTATTACATAGGCCTTTGAAACCATTATTGGTTACCATAATAATATGATAGGCTTAGGGAGAATATGGTACAGTAATAATAATTCTTCTTCTCGTCATAATGAATGTATTTGTTTTTACACACACCATAATTTAGAATAGGGGAAATACCCAAAAGATTGGGTCAGGTAATTTGTATGTAGGTAGGTGCCTAATTTAACCAATTTCAAAGAATAAGAATAATTAAATTAATTATTTTTTGGGAATACCTAGTCCTTTTCAATTATTTACACACAAATATAAAGTTTAAAATGTGAATGTTCATGATGCTCACTTCATTCAAGGCCACACCAATACAGGCAAATTGTTTCAGTGAACTACAAACTGTACTCAAAATTATACCTTATGCATAATGAACTGAGCTGTTTTTCAAAGTATGTATACTGTTCTGATTAAATCATAAAAGCACAGACTCAAATTCTGCTCTTGGAAGTAAATGTTAAAAGATTTAAAAAAACAGTAGGTAAGTAAGACAGACAGAAAAACAATCTATAAAATGTATTGTAAATGTAATGTATCTAATAAAATGTAGATAGAAAAATTGAATGAACTAAGAGCCAGTGATCACCAGACCTTCGTTATTTTATATAAACAAAGTTTGTCAGCGAATACTCTCAACAAGAATGGTGATTAACATGTTGTTAGATGTTGTTTCCTCATCAGCCAGATAGTTTCATTCCAACCCCTTGCCAAACAAGAATTTTAGGGTAGCTGCCAAAGCTACCCTAAAATTCTTGCGATAATAAATGCGAAAGTAACTCTGTCTGTCTGTCTGTCTCTCTTTCACGCCTAAACCACTGAACCGATTTTAATGAAATTTGGCATAGAGATAGTTTGAGTCCCGGGAAAGGACATAGGACAGTTTTTATACCGGTTTTTTAAACAGGGTCGCGCGAGATAACGTTTTTCTGTGACAGACAAAATTCCACGCGGGCGAAGCCGCGGGCGGAAAGCTAGTTCATAAATAAATAAAATCATTTATTACAGACAATGCAGTTCATAATCATAGAGACTTATTAATTTTGATGTTTTTAGAACCCTGAAACGCGTAAGGAGGTTCTAGACGACATATCCGCTGCAAGATGGGACAAGCTGAAGAAGACGATGCTGCGTCGCCAGAAGTTCGGGACCGCCGGGCTGCGTGGCCGCATGGGCGCTGGCTACCAGTGCATGAACGACGTCGTCATACTGCAGACAGCACAGGTGCGTTAAAATCTAAATATATATATAACTCAAAGGTGACTGACTGACATAGTGATCTATCAACGCACAGCCCAAACCACTGGACGGATCGGGCTGAAATTGGGCATGCAAGTAGATGTTATGACGTAGGCATCCGCCAAGAAAGGATTTTACGAAAGTCCACCCCTAAGGGGGTAAAACGGGATCCACGCGTACAAAGTCGCGGGCGGCCGCTAGTATCCAATAACTTGGTCAAAACGATAAAAATATTAAAGTAATATGTGGATGCATTAGCTAACTATGCATGAACGACGTCGTCATACTGCAGACAGCACAGGTTAGTTTAAACATCCATTAACTTCATTATTACAACAAAACTAACACCTGATCAAGTGGAACTGGATTGACCACACTCTCCGAAGGGACTCCGATCACATCCCCAAGCAGTTCCCAACAAACTTGGCAGCGCACTGTAGCAGACGAGAATCCGCCGACGACAATCGGCAAGATGTGAAAGCTCAAGACCGAACGCGATGAAGAACTGTTGTGGACGCGCTTTGCTCTATCTAAGGGACAGAAGACTTTAAGTCAAGTAAGTTAACACCTGTGCTAAACAGCAGCGTCATACTGAGCACTGCACAAAAGGTTTTGACAACTATACCACACTATACGTTTAAGGTCGGACCGCCTCAGAGCGGCGCGGTAAAGTGTTGCATGTCACTTCGTTGCACTATTAGTGTACAGTTCATCATATTTAACCTTTGTACCTGTCTCACTATGACACCAATACACCCTATTCTTGTATATAAACTGTAAATGAATAACACTATCATACTGTAAACAGCACAGGTAGCCAATACTTGACCTGTGCTATGTAGGTAATTTGTATTGAGTCTGTATTTGCAAACCCCAAATTCTTTCTTTTGCAGGGCCTGTGTTCGTACATCCAAAAAGTTTGTAACCAGAGCCAATTAAAGAACGGCGTCGTCGTTGGATACGATGGCAGATACAATAGCAAAAGGTAAGATTACGAAAACCTCAATTCAGTTGGTTACAAAACCTTATAGCGTCATCGGCAGACCTTCTTATAACATTAGTTGGGTTCTATGCTTTATTTAAAAAGAAAATACCAAAGATCACAGTCATGTAAACTATTTTTGTTATCATCTCGCTTCAATGGGTTTCATGACCAATTCTGTACAGTGTTATTAATACAACCAATCCCCTAGTGGTCTGATTACTGAATTCTCTTATCGCTCTACCCTCAAGGGTCAGTAATATTACGTACATTCCCGATAAAGAACTATCTCAATTCTCAATGTGTTATCTTATTGTTGTTTTTTACGAGCTATTAATGTTATAAATCAATGACGGTCACAATATTCGTTATGTCAACAACCGATTGTATGTAGATATCCAAGCGGTTCATAGCTGCCTATTTTTAATGGCTTAGGCCATGAGTCCGATTCCATAGTATTTGACGTATTTCAAGCACAGATGCGCCTTTGTCTGTCAGTTCCATCTACAAAGAATCTCCTAAATGCTTATGCACTCTTCACATTAGGTATATCTGAGAGCTTCTGATAGTAACTTATCAGATAGAGTTGCTGTTATAGTACCTAACGCAATGATTCTGTCTTGTGCGTCATTCGAGGACGTAGCGATGATCTATTCGCAACGTCTCCTACGCATTATCGAAAAGTAAACCAATTTTACGTTGGCTACAGGCATATCATATAGAATCTTAAAGATCAAATTCGTTGCCTGCTGCTGTTTTTCCCGAAGACTATAGTCCGGGCCTTTTCAAGGCGAGAGTGAATAGGCACTTACAGGGCAGATATGTACCTACCATCCTAGACTGCATCCCACTTAACATCAGGTGCGATTGTGGTGAAATAATTGCCTTGTAATGCATTAAAAAAATGGAGTCATCCATTTAATTTTGATTTCAATCGAAGGCACAGACACATTTGAATTTGAAACGACTTCGTAATACGAAACGAATGTCTTACTTGTTTGTAGAACTGCATTTTATTATGGATTAGAAACGACTCCCTTGACGAAACGGGGCAGTTGGCACGTTCAACAGTGTTTATTAATTAGTTCCTTGTTATTTCTATTGCTTACCTTTACCAGTTTTTAATGTAGTACAACAGAATAAATACGAGTACCTACATATTTCGGTAATGTGAGTCAAGTAAAGTTACTTAAAACTGATGAGATTAGACGTGATTAGTACACAAAAAATATTGAAGTAAACAATTTTTTACGTTCATGATATTACGTTTGACCACAGAATAAGTAATAGTACAGGTACAGAAGGATTACTCCGCAAGACGATTTAAATAAATGCGAGTCTTGCTACGAAGCGATACAGTGGAATTCAGCTCGCACAGCACTACGTACCTACAATTTTATTCACCTACAAGTTTTGTCTCTTTTTATCGCGTGCCTCTGAACTCTTCTTACGCTGTTAGGGTTGTTGTCTAGTAAAAAAATAATTAATCTACTTATTTGTAATGAGGTACGTATGTAGGTAAGTATGCATTCATTATGGAAAACCTTCATAGTAGGTTAGGTTCCTATACTATCCTAAGAATTATTGATTACCTACATGGCCAACATACCTTTCAGCATCTTTGGGAAGCGAAAAAAAAAGATAAATCCGGTAGATTACTTTTCGAATTTAAACACCCGAACGCCGCACAATATTTCTTTCTCTTTATGTCCACTTTTAAATAATACTTCGATCATAGAATTATAATCATACTACAACGCATGCCAGCGTCCTGACGAGCGCGCGCGTGACATTCGACTGATATAATACCCGCCGGCGGGGCGCTTCGCTGTAGGTAATTATCGGATGTACCGCGCGGAGTGAGCCAGGCCTGGTTTGACGTAATTTTATCGTTCTTTTGTTACGATAAGTACCTACTTAAGTTAGTAATAAAACTGAGGTAATTTAATTTTACCACAGATAATATAATACTAGTATTTTACTGATCTTTTAAAAGATCAGTAAAACTTGATAATAACCCAAATTATTGTAAACTTGATTAAATGTCATAATAAATATAGTCATAGTCGAGTCAGGCTAAACACTGTGCTGCTGGGACGTATTATGTACTTATGCAGTTATTTATAACCAGCTATAGCAAACCTTTTTCTTGAATTAACTATATCTATTGATGAAAATCGGATTAAAATCCGTTGCGTAGTTTAAAATATCTAACAGACAGAAGAACGACTTTGATTCATACTTGAGGACAGCCTAAAGTAATTTATTTTGCGCTAAGTTAATTATTTAAGTATGTTTGTTAATTTACAATGACAAACTTACACAAAATGCAAACAAGACATTCACGAGTGTTTGTGTGTTCTACGACGTGACAACAGCTTGCGTAACTTTGCCAACAATCTATCTTCGGCAGATGTTTTCTTGTAAATAACCACGTAATTAGCACTCTATGTCAAAATAAATGAATTTTGTTATGAGTAATTGCCGTTTAGCTGTAATCGTTGTTAGGTACAAATTAAGAATACATTACGTAATTTAAGGCCTCCCGTGCACTAGGCAGCCTGTCTGCGGCAGCCAGTCTAACATAAATGACGGTGTATGAGAGCCCGCGCACTAAAGCCCGGTCCGTGAGCACGTATAATTTTGTCCAATGACCCCTAGCTACCCATCCTTATTACTCGCGCGTAATTATATTGCTATCGCGACTGTGCGACTGGCAGCCGCAGTGAGTGTGCGAGTAGCTGCGGTTACCACAGCCAGGCTGCCTAGTGTGCGGGGGGCCTAAGACAGGAGTACTGTACACCTATTAGATGTAACTGAATAATGACTATGATCTATTACATAGTTATTATTTTTCATATTGAATACATTACCAACTCTTCGCTCTATTTTTGCTTTTATACAGTTACCACTACCAATATTCTGAATGATTGAATGAATAAAACCCCTTCAGATTCATCATCACTATCGTACGTATATTAAACTGAAAATACTTTGCGTTTATTGATCTCTATTTATTTCAGGGCCATCTCTATTAGACCAATTTAAATACTGGAGTTCCAATAGGTCGCTAGCTTCTGCCCGCGGTTTTGGCCGCTTATTTACTTAAACGCTATCGTAGCGCATTCCCAGATTAAAAACAGTCCAAAGTCTAAACTACATAGTTAGTTTTTAAATAACATAAGTAAAAATAACAGATGACTCAATAACCAGTTTTTAAATTAAAGTGATTAATGCCCGTTTTCACCATCAATCCCTAATTTTTAAGTGACTCCTATGAATACAAAATGCCTGTACTGTGTCACCATAGGGTCACTTAAAAATTAGGAATTGATGGTGAAAATAGGCATAAGTACACCTGTTATTTCACTTAGTTGTAGAGATATCTGAGACAGTTCAATATTTGTTCCAATTGATATTTCTCGTGCATTAATTACAAAATTTCTAGATTTTCTAGTTTATTGGCCGCCGACTCTAGTATGATTTGTAACACACCTAGATCAATCCAGCTTCCATTATTATTCAACGAATCTATTTCTAGTATTTACCGCTCTTCAAGATAGTTTATGATTGAGCATAATGGAGTTGAGTCAATTATGCGATGAGTTCATTCCACTCTTTGCCAATTTAGGCATTCATGATGAACGTAATTTAATACATTCATGGAATTTATGACGGTTGCTTCAATTTCGTCTCTTAAAAATTACAGTGCTATTTCTAGCAAAAGAATCTATCATCAGCCTTTGCCTACCATCTCGATCGCTCGGATTTCGATTTGTCAATGAAATGCAGTCGATATTAGACATGTTTTTGTTGTAAAATTAAACTTATTAAATCTACTTATTATGCCTAGCTTGAGAGCTGTGCCTACATTACCCTCGTACCAAAGTAGCTAATCGAAGTTTGGTGTCGAATTGTATTTTTCTTAAGGTGGGGAGCTCAACTTAATGTGTGCTCAAAAAGGTGCTCGAACAACTAGAAATGACCATGCTTATTTATTAGCAACGTTTCGACACACATGCTACTAAATTGCTCAGTAATGACATTGTACTTTCGTGCTAAAGTACTGTGCGACGGAGTGATAAGGATGGGTAGCTTGGGGTCATTGGACGAAATTCTACGTGCTCGGCGACCGGACTTTAGTAATAGCATCTCAAAGTTCTCAAACTGTACCTTAACTTCTAACTAAAGACCCGGTCTNCCTTGTCTATCCTACAGATTCGCCGACCTCACAACGAAAGTCTTCGTCTCCGCTTCCATCCCTGTCCACTTATTCACTGACGTATGCCCGACGCCTCTTGTATCGTTCGCTACGATCCTGTACGGAGCAGCAGCAGGCGTGATGGTGACCGCCTCCCATAACCCGAAGGAAGACAACGGCTACAAGGTACTGTTTATATCGGCTATTTAACTAGAATAGAATAGTAAAACTTCATTGACACAGTCAGTACAACAAGAACAAAACATTTACTGAGGCACTGTGCCAATAGGCTGCTCGGCATTTATCTTGATATCTTGCTCGTAAGGGCATGACAAGAAGCTGGTCTTCCGCGAACGCCCTTACTTTTGGCATTGGTATTCTTTCGACGATACACCGACTTAAGATTATTTTGGAAAGAGATGAGGATGAGAGATCACGAACTAAATTCATCATTACATACAGGTGACTTTGTTATCAGTATCCAAAATTTTTTAATAAGCTCGTTAGAACAATTTGACAATACAACTTTATCGTAATTATTTATAATTGTGGTATTTTTCGCAAAAAAAAAAAAATTGAAAGTCTAATTCGCGGGTGCCCATATCTTAAGTTTTAAAGGTTATTGCTTATTTTCGCTCACCATTATGTCTATTAAGCTTTGCAGTTAACTGTGTGTACATTTTTTTCCATGAACGAAGCAAATTTTCCACGTGAGTCAATTTGGAAACCGCGCGCAGCGGATGAAAATAATTAAATATGGAGACAAAAGTTTTGTTTTCTTTACGTAAATCAATTAGGTTACTGATTCCGAGTCGATCCTGAAAATTTGGATACTGATACAAAAATTACCCTGTATAATGTGCTGTTGAGATTGCTGCACTGTATTAATTCTACCTATGTAATACCTTGTCTCGGGAAAAAAAATCATCTTTTAATATATTTTTTAATAATTTAAGGTGTACTGGGGCAACGGCTGTCAGATCATAGCGCCGCACGATCAACTCGTGCTGGAGGAAATCGAGCAGTGCTTGGAGTGAGTAGATGTGACATTTTGTTGCTTTTCTAAGGTTTCATAGTTATCAACCAGTTGCAGTCGAGTGTATAATATACTCCCAAGCCGCTTTCCGCTACGGTAACTACGACAAAATTCCTTTAGTCCGCAATAAGAGGGCTACGCTGGGCTGCCCTATCATGAGCCCTCACATGGCTACAGTAGCCAGTCTTGTTGGTAAACGTGCGCGAACAATGTCGATACGTTAGGACACCGCTGATGTAGTTGTAAGTGATAGCCGTACGCAGACATAACCCAATATAGTGCGTAAAAGTGCAAGGCAAGATGTACCACATTTTTCTCATGTTTGTCCAGTGACTGCCTGCCATCTTCTTGACATCATCAGTCCATCGTGCTGAGGAATGTTTATTATTTTACTAGAGTTAATATATCTGTAAGAATGATTAGTCCGCGTAGTTTGAAAGTTATTAGCTATTCTGAAAGTCTGGCGATGTGCACCAAGAATTGGAACGACTTACAGGGCAGATATGTACCATCCTAGACTGCATCCCACTTAACATCAGGTGCGATTGTGGTCAAATACCTGCCTTGTTATGCATAAAAAAATAAAATAAAAACTTTCAATATTTTTCTTCAGTACCTACTGTTTTAATAGGAATGCTTATTAATCTCATTATAGCATACCAGAAGAACACTGGAACATCGATGAGATCCGATCCCATCCCCTAGTCACCGACTGCTTAGAAGAGGCCACAACGAAGTACATGGAATACATCCGCAGCTCGCTACACCCAGACATTTTGGAGACGAATAAAAAAGCGGCAATAGATACTGTGTACAGCGCTATGCACGGCGTCGGTTATAAATACATCGTTAAAGCGTTCGAGGCCGCTAACTTGAAGGTGAGTTTGTTCTTTAGAACGTTATTCCTTCACATTATCTAACATCGATCGACAAAATAAAAAAAGATTGCAAATCTACTGTAGTAAACCCTACCATGAGTGCATCATCCTAAATCAATAGACATTTGCAAATAGCATATCAGTATAGAAACTGTAGTAATTCCAATTAAAATCTATCGCGGACTAAATTATGACTGATTCTCAGGTCACAGTCGTGCTCGTTGAAGTTAAAGGATCGTCTAAAAGTATTCAACGTTCGAATAATCTTTAACTACCAGGCCTGTTCATCTCCGCGAGTTTACATCGAAAACAAAACAAGCACGATGACACCCTGCAGGATTACTATTCGACAATGCCTCGCATACGAGCGAGCATTGACTCACGCACGCGTATTCTTGTGTATGATGGAAAAAAATAAAGAAAATGGTGTACTAAATACTGTGCAGTATTTAACTGTCTAAATAATCATAAAAACCCAGAATGTACTTTTTTAAGTTGCCTGAAGACACTGAGAGGTAAATAAGTGGTTAATATTATTCATGATAATTTATGCTTAATCACGTATTTCCTCCGCCATTTTCTGCAGTTTGGCACCTCACGTCACACATCATTTTACCGAAGTCAGTCCTTATAGCTTCGGCGCAGTGCCGATAACTGACGTTTGTCAACAAAATGGTGCTTGACTCTTGAGACAAGCTAAATTACACCATATTGTTAATGACATAGAGCATACATTTTTTTAAATACCTTCGCTAAGTAAACCTTCTGTACGTAGTACCTACTTATTATTATTCTGTGGTACTACGCAAGCAATGTAAACTGTTTACATTATGACGTCGCTGCTGTCATCATTGCTTTCACGAGCAATGTGTTCTGTTTTTGGGCATATTTTTGCGACCCCGGCCCCGCCCCCTTGTCACTTCTCCCTTTAGTTTCTGTGATCTGTAGGTGCGTCCACACTGGGCGAACGGGCTCGCGCGGCAAACTCGACATCCTGCTCACTCAAGAGCAGTGTGAGCAGGATGACCAGCGTGCCGCGCGAGTCCGTTCGCCTACTGTGGACGCACCATTACTACCCGTTTGCGCTAAGTTTGCCGGTCCGTGGAATGCGTGCCCTCCTCCAACCGCGATTAAACGCAATAAGTTAGTGATTAACCGCAATTAATGTGTCTTATTTAACGCAAATACACAATTTTTATCAATAATAAATAAAAAATGTTTTAAATATAGTTTGTTAAAGTTATAGACGCTTCCCTTCGAGTGACGTCATATCGCCAGCGGCAAACTTATCGGGAACGGATAGTACCGTGTCCGTGATTAAAAATAAAATTAACATAATTTTCAGCTGCCAATAAGCGTGCCCGAGCAGCAAGAGCCGGACCCGTCGTTCCCGGTCTATCCCACAGATTCGCCGACCTCACAACGAAAGTCTTCGTCTCCGCTTCCATCCCTGTCCACTTATTCACTGACGTATGCCCGACGCCTCTTGTATCGTTCGCTACGATCCTGTACGGAGCAGCAGCAGGCGTCATGGTGACCGCCTCCCATAACCCGAAGGAAGACAACGGCTACAAGGTACTGTTTGTATCGGCTATTTAACTAGAATAGAAAAAAAAAAACGTTTTCTGAGGCACTGTGCCAATAGGCTGCTCGGCACTTATCTTGATATCTTGCTTGTAAGGTCATGTCAAGAAGCTGGTCTTCCGCGAACGCCCTTACTTTTGGCATTGCGTATTCTTTCGACGATACACCGAAGATTATTTTGGAAAGAGATGAGGATGAGAGATCACGAACTAAATTCATCATTACATATGTATAATGTGCTGTTGAGATTGCTGCACTGTATTAATTCTACCTATGTAATACCTTGTCTCGGTAAAGAAATCATCTTTTAATAATATATTTTTTTAATAATTTAAGGTATACTGGGGCAACGGCTGTCAGATCATAGCGCCGCACGACCAACTCGTGCTGGAGGAAATCGAGCAGTGCTTGGAGTGAGTAGATGTCATTTTGTTGCTTTCATAGTCAGAGAGTGTCAACATGTCATGACAGCGAAAGGCAGAAGTCGGAACTGTCGCCTATAGTCACCTACCTCTGTCGCAAGCAGTCGCCGACATAATGTCGCTCGTCTGTAAGCTTTCTAAGGTTTCATAGTTATTAACCAATTGCAGTCTAATGTACTGCAGTACGCAAGCCAAATTGCACAGTATACCATGTTTTTCTCAAGTTTATCCAATGAGGGTTTTCGCTATTGAAAAATCCGCCAGATGGCAATACGTAGACGTGAGGTCCAAATGCTGCATGATTGGTTATTTTTGACATGACATTGACAGATATGTCAAAATCCACCAATCATGCAGCATTTGGACCTCGCGTCTACGTATTGCCATCTGGCGGATTTTTCAATTGCGAAAACACTCATTACTGCCTGCCATCTTGCTGGGGAACGATCTACTTTATAAAAATGGAGTAAATATCTCTATTATAATTATTACTCTATGTTGTTTTAAATAAGCTAGTCTAAAGTCTAGCGACGTTCACTTTGCAGCATCTAGAAGCCCAGTGGAAAGACTTAATATTTTTTAAAAGTTTTCTTCACTAGGTTAGCTGTGTTAATATGAATGCTTATTCATCACGTTATCTCCATTATTCTAGTATACCAGAAGAACACTGGAACATCGATGAGATCCGATCCCATCCCCTAGTCACCGACTGCTTAGAAGAAGCCACGACGAAGTACATGGAATACATCCGCAGCTCGCTACACCCAGACATTCTAGAGACGAACAAGAAAGCAGCAATAGATACTGTGTACAGCGCTATGCACGGCGTCGGTTATAAATACATCGTTAAAGCATTCGAAGCCGCCAATTTAAAGGTGAGTTAGCTCTTCAAAATGTTATTCCTTCACATAATAAACAAAAATAAAATTAATCTAAAATAAATATTTATACTTGCTATGAGTCTATGAGTACCTCCTACAATGTCCAAAATATCCAAATTACCGTAACTTTTTGTATGCAGTCTGACAGATTTTTGACGTTTGTCAAAGTTAAAGTAAGATGGTGCAACTCATCCGCTAGATAGGCCAAAAAAAAAACTCAGCCTTAAATAGTTAAAGTTTAGAGATCACACGATAGGACGAGAAAATACGACCAATATTATCAGATCGTGACCTCAATAGTATTAGCGAGGCTATTCCGAAAAACATCCGAAGTTTCGAATGTTGTCTCACGTAAAGTGAGCGTGAGCGACAGTGACTATTGTTTTAGGTAAAGTTCGAGCGCGACAGCAATATAGTTACGCGCGAGCGATAAAAATGGGTAGCTTGGGGTCATTGGACGAAATTCTATGTGCTCGGCGACCAGACATTGCTCATAGTAAACTTGCAATCCAAAATAAAATAAAAAATCAACATTGTTTTCCAGCTGCCAATAAGCGTGCCCGAACAGCAAGAGCCAGAGCCGTCGTTCCCGACAGTAGTGTTCCCCAACCCCGAGGAGCCTGCGTGCTTGGAGCTCAGCACTGGCCTGGCCGAGCGGAGCGCCGCGCGCCTGCTGCTGGTCAACGACCCCGACGCCGACCGCCTGGCCGTCGCCGAGCGGGACCACAGGTCTAGGGAGCTGCTCTCTTAGCAACAAGTGTCTTTCAGCAACAAGCGAGTCTCTAAAAGGCGACTTCCAGCACCAGCTAGTCTCTAAAAGGCGACTTCCAGCAACAATAGTCTCTAAAAGGCGACTTCCAGCAACAAGCTAGTCTCTAAAAGGCGACTTCCAGCACCAGCTAGTCTCTAAAAGGCGACTTCCAGCAACACTAGTCTCTAAAAGGCGACTTCCAGCAACAAGCTAGTCTCTAAAAGGCGACTTCCAGCACCAGCTAGTCTCTAAAAGGCGACTTCCAGCAACACTAGTCTCTAAAAGGCGACTTCCAGCAACAAGCTAGTCTCTAAAAGGCGACTTCCAGCAACAAGCTAGCCCCCAATAGGCATCTTCCACATTGCTTTCTGGCTCCCAATAAGCGTGCCCCAGCAAGAGCCAGAGCCGTCGTTCCCGACAGTAGTGTTCCCCAACCCCGAGGAGCCTGCGTGCTTGGAGCTCAGCACTGGCCTGGCCGAGCGGAGCGCCGCGCGCCTGCTGCTGGTCAACGACCCCGACGCCGACCGCCTGGCCGTCGCCGAGCGGGACCACAGGTCTAGGGAGCTGCTCTCTTAGCAACAAGTGTCTTTCAGCAACAAGCTAGTCTCTAAAAGGCGACTTCCAGCACCAGCTAGTCTCTAAAAGGCGACTTCCAGCAACAATAGTCTCTAAAAGGCGACTTCCAGCAACAAGCTAGTCTCTAAAAGGCGACTTCCAGCAACAAGCTAGCCCCCAATAGGCATCTTCCACATTGCTTTCTGGCTCCCAATAAGCGTGCCCCAGCAAGAGCCAGAGCCGTCGTTCCCGACAGTAGTGTTCCCCAACCCCGAGGAGCCTGCGTGCTTGGAGCTCAGCACTGGCCTGGCCGAGCGGAGCGCCGCGCGCCTGCTGCTGGTCAACGACCCCGACGCCGACCGCCTGGCCGTCGCCGAGCGGGACCACAGGTCTAGGGAGCTGCTCTCTTAGCAACAAGTGTCTTTCAGCAACAAGCTAGTCTCTAAAAGGCGACTTCCAGCACCAGCTAGTCTCTAAAAGGCGACTTCCAGCAACAATAGTCTCTAAAAGGCGACTTCCAGCAACAAGCTAGTCTCTAAAAGGCGACTTCCAGCAACAAGCTAGCCCCCAATAGGCATCTTCCACATTGCTTTCTGGCTCCCAATAAGCGTGCCCCAGCAAGAGCCAGAGCCGTCGTTCCCGACAGTAGTGTTCCCCAACCCCGAGGAGCCTGCGTGCTTGGAGCTCAGCACTGGCCTGGCCGAGCGGAGCGCCGCGCGCCTGCTGCTGGTCAACGACCCCGACGCCGACCGCCTGGCCGTCGCCGAGCGGGACCACAGGTCTAGGGAGCTGCTCTCTTAGCAACAAGTGTCTTTCAGCAACAAGCTAGTCTCTAAAAGGCGACTTCCAGCACCAGCTAGTCTCTAAAAGGCGACTTCCAGCAACAATAGTCTCTAAAAGGCGACTTCCAGCAACAAGCTAGTCTCTAAAAGGCGACTTCCAGCAACAATAGTCTCTAAAAGGCGACTTCCAGCAACAAGCGAGTCTCTAAAAGGCGACTTCCAGCAACAATAGTCTCTAAAAGGCGACTTCCAGCAACAGCTAGTCTCTAAAAGGCGACTTCCAGCAACAAGCTAGTCTCTAAAAGGCGACTTCCAGCAACAAGCTAGTCTCTAAAAGGCGACTTCCAGCAACAAGCTAGTCTCTAAAAGGCGACTTTCAGCAACAAGCCAGTCTGTAAAAGGCGACTTCCAGCAACAATAGTCTCTAAAAGGCGACTTCCAGCACCAGCTAGTCCCTAAAAGGCGACTTCCAGCAACAAGCTAGCCCCCAATAGGCATCTTCCACATTGCTTTCTGGCTCCCAATAAGCGTGCCCCAGCAAGAGCCAGAGCCGTCGTTCCCGACAGTAGTGTTCCCCAACCCCGAGGAGCCTGCGTGCTTGGAGCTCAGCACTGGCCTGGCCGAGCGGAGCGCCGCGCGCCTGCTGCTGGTCAACGACCCCGACGCCGACCGCCTGGCCGTCGCCGAGCGGGACCACAGGTCTAGGGAGCTGCTCTCTTAGCAACAAGTGTCTTTCAGCAACAAGCGAGTCTCTAAAAGGCGACTTCCAGCACCAGCTAGTCTCTAAAAGGCGACTTCCAGCAACAATAGTCTCTAAAAGGCGACTTCCAGCAACAAGCTAGTCTCTAAAAGGCGACTTCCAGCACCAGCTAGTCTCTAAAAGGCGACTTCCAGCAACAAGCTAGCCCCCAATAGGCATCTTCCACATTGCTTTCTGGCTCCCAATAAGCGTGCCCCAGCAAGAGCCAGAGCCGTCGTTCCCGACAGTAGTGTTCCCCAACCCCGAGGAGCCTGCGTGCTTGGAGCTCAGCACTGGCCTGGCCGAGCGGAGCGCCGCGCGCCTGCTGCTGGTCAACGACCCCGACGCCGACCGCCTGGCCGTCGCCGAGCGGGACCACAGGTCTAGGGAGCTGCTCTCTTAGCAACAAGTGTCTTTCAGCCACAAGACAGGCGTCTTCAAGCACCAGCTTGTCTCTAAAAGGCGACTTCCAGCAACAAACTAGTGTTTGAAAGGCGACTTTCAGCAACAGCTAGTATCTAATAGGCGACTTCCTGCAGCAATAAGCTAGCGGGTATAGGTGTAAACCAACAACAAGCTAATAAGAGTCTTACAGGAACCAGCTAGTCTCCAAAAATCGACTTACAGCAACAATTTTGCTTCTAATAAGTGTGTTCCAGCAACAAGCTGTTTTTAGGAGACATTAAGCCTCAGCGGCAGACGACTTGATAAAGGTAGCAGGAAGGTGCTGGATGCAGGCCGCTACCAACCGTGCGATGTGGAAGTCATCGGACGTCCTGTGGCTGAAATGATGATGTGTTTGTCTATTACCTGTTTTAAGTATTGTAAAAATAATGTGAACATTATTTATTTCCAGTACCAAATCGTGGAAGGTATTCACGGGCAACGAAATGGGTGCTCTGCTGGGCTGGTGGCTGCTCGAACAGAACTCTAAACGGAACGATGCGAGCGAGGTTTGTTTATTTACTTAAAAACTATCTTTTGGCTGTGGCTTTGCCCCCGTAAGTTCCTTCTGTCACAGAAAGTTTTATTTATTTATTTAGAAAGCTGCTTGAAGGCTTACAGAAAATCCAACGCGCCAACAAGATACAGTCATGCAAATTATATAAATTAAAAATGTCAATATTGTGTACAATTGTGAAGTAAAACGATAAAAAAAATCAGTCAAATAAAATTTTGTTTTGATGACTTCAAATCGCTTGATTCCTTAACAATGACATGAAATGCATATTGTCCCGTCGTGCCATTCACCTTTCAACGACCGCTTTAGTGGTCTCTGTAGATGAGCTCTACCTGAACAGACTTAGGTAGGGTTCATTTTTAATTTTTAATCCCCAGATTAGATATCGTTCGATAAATTTGACTGGTGGGTGACTTGGGCGGATTCGACCAATCAAGAGTAAATATTAATCTCAGAATTAATCGTCAGTTTTGACATATTTCCCATACTGAAATTGTCAACGTGTCAGTTATACCAAGGGTTATTCTTGGATAAAAGCTTTGTCGAATCGGGCCTTAATAGAATTAATTTCTTCAGGTGTACGTGATCGCAAGCGTGGTTAGTTCCAAGATGTTGCGAGCACTCGTCCAAGGCAAAGGCGAGTTCGTGGAGACGCTCACTGGCTTCAAGTGGATGGGTAAGATTGATTAAAGTATTCCTTCCATTCTCTAACCCATCTGGCCAACACTTTAGAACCTGTAAGATAAGCTATAAGCTTTTGTCACGCCATTTTATCGATTTTACACGATAAGCCCATACGTTTGTCATCTAAAATCATCGATAACATTTTTTTTTATCCACAACGAGGAAGCTCTTGGCCTGTATCTCACCTGATGGTAAGTGACGATCAGGAGGTGGAAGCGAGCTTCACCCGGAATCCTCAACCACGAACTGGCTATCTACCTCTAACTGCCAGAACATAATAATGCTGTTAACTTTAGTTGTTATGGCGACAGACTTAGGTAAGATGGTGGTAGCAACCAGGCGGACTTAAAACAAGCCCTACCACCAACCAAACCGAACAGAAAAATCTGCCCCCACTGGGAATCGAACCCGGGACCTCTGCGTCTGAAGCAGGTGGTCTTACCACTAAACCACAGAGGCGTTTTTACCACGGCCTGTATCCTAGCCCAGTTGTTTTCCAAAATAAATTATTTATATTGTTGCAGGCAACACCACACTCCTCCTTGCGCAGCAGGGTAAGCTACCGTTGTTCGCGTTTGAGGAGGCCATTGGCTACATGTGCAACCATCGCGTGCCCGACAAGGACGGAGTATCGGCCGCTGTACAGGTGAGGTTTAGTTTATAGATAATATAAACATAGCCTTTTTGTTTGAAATAACCGAGGCACTCTTAGGCTGGGTTGCACCATCTTACTTTAACTTTGACAAACGTCAAAAATCTGTCAAAATCCATACAAAAACACCGGTTATCGTCAAAGTTACGGTCAAAGTTTGGTGGTGCAACCCAGCCTTATTGTTTCATTTAAGTCCCCATTTTTATTTTAACCTACCTAGCCACCTCCTTTCCCTTTTTACTTCAAACAGCAGAGCTTCCCTTTTTCTCTTTGTATTACAAACATTCCAGCCATCCCCTTCCCCGTTTTAATTAAAACAACTGAACCCCTTCGGGCGTTTTTTCACAATAATCTTGGCAAACGGGCATTAATCACACAGTTTTAGTCATAGCTGGGCATTAACTCGTTAATCCGTTAATCGTTAATTAACGAAGTTAACATTTCTATTAACGGATTAACTTTTAAGTTAACTTTAAAAAATGTTAACGGACTCGTTAACTTCTGTTAAATTATCCTAAGTCCGTTAATCGTTAATCCAGTACCTATACTATTTACCAAAAAGATACCTACAGCAGGCATGCAGAAAAACGCGTTCTGACAAGTACCTACGTTCGGGCTTCCACCCGATCACTAACGACACTTGTTAGTATGTGTGGGTGGGACAACTCTTGCAACTGAATTTAAGACCAGTTTTTCTCAACCGATTGAGCTGAAAGGATAGTGCCAGGGNCCGTCGTTCCCGACAGTAGTGTTCCCCAACCCCGAGGAGCCTGCGTGCTTGGAGCTCAGCACTGGCCTGGCCGAGCGGAGCGCCGCGCGCCTGCTGCTGGTCAACGACCCCGACGCCGACCGCCTGGCCGTCGCCGAGCGGGACCACAGGTCTAGGGAGCTGCTCTCTTAGCAACAAGTGTCTTT